TAGATTTGCCTGATATGGTAAGCAAGTAGGAAATTTTCCCTTCCAAGGATGAAGTATGCCTGAATAACCTGTCACCCTCTGTGTAGTGGAAATAAATGCCTGCCGTTGGAATCTTGGTAATGGAACTTGGTGTTCAGAATTTCTCAATGGACCCATTTGGAACTTGAGCACCAACTGTGAACTTCCTTGCCACTTTTGATATTTTGGGAAGGATAAACTTCTATTGAGGGAGGTTATTGTGCATTGAAAGATGTTCATCAGCACCAGTGACCACTACCCACTAGATGACCACAGCATTCTTCTCCCAGTGTGTAATAGCCAAAGTTTTTTCAGACTTTGCCAAATGTCAAGGAATGGTGGGCAAATTGCCTGCTGTTGAGAACCACTGAGTTACAAGGCTGTGGGTTTGTCTTTCAGCTACTTACTAGCTGTCTGACAGACATAACTTTCTCAAGCTCCGAACCCCATTTCTGTTTTCTGCACAGGGTGGGTATAAATCAGTTGTTGTTAGGACTAAATGAGACAATGCATTTATATTATGTAGCAAGGTGCTATGTGTGCGTCTACTACACGTTATTTGCCGTGACTATTATTACTACTTCATTTTTCTTTTTTATGTTATCGACACTGGTATTTCCTCATAGTTCTAACTAGAAGAAAAAAATATAGATCTACAAAGAAAAAATGTTTCCCAAATTTTCTTTGATTCATTTGTACTTTATATGCACCCAGAAATTCTTATTTATGTAATTATTTATTTATTTCTGAGATAGGGTCTTGTCTGTTGCTCAACCTGGAGTGCAGTGAAGCAGTCACAGACCCCCGCAAGCTTAAACTCCTGTGCTCTAGTGACTCTCCTGCCTTGGCTTCCCAAAGCACCAGGATAACAGGTGTGAGCCACTGTGCCTGGCCTGCATTGTAAAGTTCTTAACCACACATCAGATTACTACTTTCCCTAAAACTACCTGTGCTATCTGGCCTCCAACTGCACAGATGCCCTACCTTCTTCTCTTTATGTATATTAAGGATAGCATTAGAATGAAAACAAATGTTATTAGAATTTTCAGTTCCCTTTTAATGGATTATTATCATTGTTACTATTTTGAGATGGAGTTGCCCAGGCTGAAGTGCAGTGGCACCATCTTGACTCATTGCAACCCCCACCTCCCAGGTTCACGTGAGTCTCCCACCTCAGCCTCCCAAGTAGCTGGGATCATAGGTGTGTACCACCATGTCTAGCTAATTGTATTTTTAGCAGAGACAGGATTTCCGCATGTTGGCCAGGCTGGTTACGAACTCTAGACCTCATGTGATCTTCCTGCCTCGTCCTTCCAAGGTGCAGGGATTACAGGCATGAGCCACCACGCCCAGACTTTTAATGGATTATTGATATGTATTCTCCATCCCAATTTTTTCCTAAAACATGTAGTATGGAAAATTATAGTCAAATTGATATTTGCTTCCTATAATAAAATTATGAGCAAAGGGTATCAACATGTAATTTACCAAAGATGAACTTTAACTCGAAATAGGTGGACAGAGATTGTATTTCAATCTCAAATAAAGAAGTGAAAAACTTTTTAAATGCCATTTCGTACTAATTAATAAAAGAAAATGGTGACAAAGGTATAACAAAAGAGAGTGAACCGCACTGCCTTCTATGTTGAAATTGATATATGCCTTTGGTAAAACAATTTGTTCATTCCAATGCAGTCTTATTAAAGGGAACTGCCCAAGCTAGCACTATGGAGAATACTGTGATCGAATGCATATGTCTCTTCAATGTACGCTGCTCTCCTTTTTCAGGGTCCTTAAATGCCTTCCTCTTTTATCTACTCGCTGCCTGGACTCCCAACTTCTCCTTAGCTGTTTAAACTAATAATTCTGTGAAATGTGTAATCTTAGCAAATCACACCACACCTCAGAAATAAGATGTCTTCTATATACTCTTGAGGTGTACCAGTCTATGCCACCCCATATTATGTCTCTTTGGCACATGGATTATTTTAAGCTAAAGGCCATTGGGAACCTGCACATGCATGAAAAGCCCCGCAGAAAGGGCACAAGTTTTCCTTTAGAAGGAAATTTCTGTTTGTATAAATGTCTCCCACTCCTGTGTCAGGAAGTACCCTTAGAAACTTTTATCAATAAAAAAGGCAAATAACAAATTTTACTAAACAACTCTTGTTTATCCTGCTTTTTCCCTGGTCACCTTCCCATAACTTGCCTTCTTTGCCCCCAAACCCAAAATCTTTTATTTTAGTCTAACAGGGTATACAAGCCTAAATTCTAAATACGCCTTTGAGTTACTCATTTCTGGGTAGTCCCATGTTTTATATGCATGATTCACATGGTAATAAACTTCTGTTTGTTTTTCTCTTGTTAGTCTGTCTTTTGCTAGAGTTCTACCTGAGAACCTAGAAAAGTAAGAAAAAAAAAAAAGGTTTCCTCCCCTATACTCTTCTTATACAAAAATGGGATGAATGCAAAAAGACACATCCCTGTACCCTCTCTTGGGCCCTAAGAGAACGATCCAGTTGAGACCATCCCTTACTGCTCTGTGCCAACTTACAAAATGCTGGAGAAGGGTGGACTGGTGAAGAAGGGAGAGAGAGAGTAAAAAGAAATAAAGTCATATGTACCCAAGGTCTTGCAAGAGCTGGAAGCCCTGTGGAGGCTCAATCATTTTTTTTCTTTAACTCCAATCCTTATAATTCTAATCAAATGAGGGGTGGGAGGAGCACACATGTGAAGAGTTTATTTTTACATTTCTGATAACACTAAACAACAGGAAAGAACCTGAAAGTCTACGAGGAGGTGTGTGAATGAGAAAACTGTAAAGTGATCACTTCGTAGACCACTATGCTGTTATCACAAATGACTTTGTGGTGCTCCAAAAGCAAACAGAAAATGCTGTTGATCACATGTTAGATGCAGAAGAAGGGTACAAAACTGTGTGTGCGCTCTGGCCACCACACAACCCTATAAAATACATACAGATGGACAAACACTCTCTTTTTAACCTAACTTGAGATAGACTCCTCTGAGTCCTCATTTGGAGTAAGCCTCATGTTTGGCCTAAAAATACTGTTAGACTCTCAGCACAAATGATTTCATCCACCTACTTTTCCATTTCACCCTGAAAGACTTGAACATACACTAATAGGATTGAATAGCTCAAAGCTGCATCCCTAGGACAACCCGAGTTCCCCTTAAACTGCCTGCCTGAAAAGATAAATAAAAGTCTGAAAGCTATTGAAAGAAGGTAACGTTTGTTCCAGCCAACACCTGACCATCATCCCCTGATCTCCCTTTCTTAGAATATTTACTAAAAAGGGCTTAAAAATATGGATTTTGATTATGACTCCAAACCTCAAAGATGTCTTTCTCAAGGACCCGACACTGTTTTTTGAAATATTCTTATCAGGAAGGATGGGGGCTCTGTCTCCTAGTCTCTGTCGGAGGATAGAATCCTAACTTCATCAATTGCCGGGAAACAGACACAGCTGCTCTGATCATATTTACTCAAAACAACTCTGTAATTTTTCCCTTCTCCAGCTCTGCCCAAGCCCCTGCTCCTCCTGTTCCCTATTCTCTCATTCACCTTTTAAAATGCCCAGCCACTTTCGTACAAATTGAAGGTCAGTTCAACTATTCCTCTAATATATCACTGATTAGAATCTATCCTCATCACTTTATTGTCTGGCTTTGTTTATCTTTGACACAACCAGTTGCTAAGGAATGAAGCCCTCTATCACTGTGGCTGTTTTAGAGCGGTGAGATTATACCCATTAGAAATCAATAGCAAAACCATTCGCTCTGTTTCTGAAAAGAACAATCCCTTCATATTGCCGTGAATAAAAGTTTAACAAAACATGACTGGGAAGAGACTCTGATTTATGATTTCTGCATAAAACCATCTAAGTACATCTGTTATGCACATCACAATAGTGACTTTTTGGGTAATGATTTCTTAGAATCACAAGTGATATATAAATTTCCAGTGGTTTAAGCATTTGGAGTGGTGTGAATGTGTCCTGGGTGATTGCCTATTATACTCAAATACTAGGTTTATACAGTGGCCTTTGTTCTTTTGTTTCATGCTTCAGATTCCAAAAGTGCGATGCTGTGTGGGATCAAAGAATTGCTACCCTAAGAGGAATATATCTGCATGTATTACACAGTATTCTCTTGTATTTAATTTAGTGTTTTGCAGTATAGCTCAGTAATGATTAAAACTGCCTTACAAAAAGTGTAAGAGGCAAAGAGTTTGCATTTCACTTCAAGTTCTGATATCTCTGCAAGGCCTGGAATTGGATTGATTCTGAAACTCCACATTTCACCTCTCACCTTTGATTCTTCTCACACCCCTTAACTTGGAGATCTCTGAACATAACATGCATTTTTGGAATTCTATGGCTTCATTCTTCCTGTATGTTCTAGTGTCTAGCTCTTAGCCCTCTGACTCTCCATAGAACTTTTCATGTCCTTTGAAGCCCAGCCTGAGCCTGACTCTGTTGTGAGGCAGCCCCCGCGTCTACTCCCATCCACCTCCCACTGGCTTCTTCTTGTCCGACCTCTGCTGCAACAACAACTACTTCAGAAGTCACTTCAGCTGGTTCTAAGGGTTTCTGTGATTCTTCCTACAGGGAACTTCTTTTATGGCAAGGACATTGTATCCTTGGTGTTACGTACAACTTCTGGCACAAACTAAGAATTCGACATGTCTACACGGGACAAAAAAAACTGAAGTTCTTATTGTTATCAGAGATTAGTTTACATTATAGATGGTAATCAAGAGCTGAAGTTTAACTTGGTTTTTATCTGATGCATACATACATGCATGTGTGAATATCCCCTACCAGAACTGTAAGACCATTTAAGTAAAACTCAATAAAGCTCTGAAAAATATATACAAGTCTGATCTCAGGCTCCCAATACTTCTGGACTGGAAGTACTGAGGTAGCCTGCAGAAGGAGGTGTGTAGACAAGTCACTTACATTTTGCAGCTGGACATGACTCTTCACCAAGTTCTCTGACTTCACCATTGTGCTGGATGCTTTGAGACTGTAGCTTTTACCATTTTGTGGCACTTTGAGCTGCTCTTGGATTTGTTTAGCTTGTTTCCTGCAGGCATAAATAAACATGTGTACAAATATTTGCATGAATTTATTCACTTCCTACTTTCTGGGTTTCACTCATTCCCAATGTCTATATTTGTTATTTGCTAAAGTTAAATAAACTCAGTTAACAAAGAGAACCCTTCTCTTATTTCCAACCCCACCAAAAAATACTTCCAATTTAGTGATAGCCTGATATCATCCATATTATCTAGGAATTCACACTCAATGGCACCCCAGAAGCAGACAAAAACTTAGTGCATTGCCCTGGCCCCCAGAGATGCAAGAAGTCTCTAACTCTGAGTTTTACCTGCAAAGAGCTGGAAATGCTGTGAGAAAGTGACTAGAGGAAAACAATTAAGACTCGGGCTTAGCAGCTACGTATGACATATTTGTAGAGTTACATTTATATTTGTACAATTCAAATATGTTTAGCTTAATTGTACAACTTGACTATACACTATAATGTGTATATTTTCTGTCTTTTACAACTTAGAAATAGCTCATTTATTGTTACCAAGAGCCCAAATATTAAAAACAGCTAACTCTTAAAAAGCTGGTAATTATACAGTAATGTGCCACACATTTTAAGTGCTTTACTTGTATCAATTCATGTATTCTTCATGATAATCCTATGTGATGAGGCCATAATTCTACACCCATTTAGTAGATGAGAACTGAGGCATAGAGATGTTAAGCCATTTGTTTGAAGTCACATAGTCAATGACTGGCAGAGACTGGATTTCAGCCCAGCCAACCTGCCTCCATACTTTATACTCTTCAACCACCACTCAGAACTGCCAAGCCATGTGCTCATGGTCTCACTGCTTCTAAGTCAAAAGGCTGAAACTGCTCTAGGGCTCTGGACTTCAAGTAAAGTGCTCCTGCGTGCGCATGTGGAGTGACTGTTGCCTGGATCACTCAGTGCCTATACGAGAAGGATGGGACAAACCAATGCCTTATCAGTGGCTGTCTCCTAGAAGCTTCACAGAAATCATCTATCAGCATAAGACTCGGTACACATTAAACACACACACACACACACACACACACACACACACACACACACATACACACACCTGTTTGCAGTGTTGACCTAAAACATAGAGGGACACTCTCTAAAAGAAAATATTTAATTGGAAATAAGTATTGCAATGTGAATACACAGAATATAGTAAAATATATTTTATTACTAGGAAGATAGGAAACATGATGTCCACAACTGATTTGGGATAATTATCCTTGGCTACAAGGGTCAATAAGAAGGATGGTGCCCGTCCGAGGGTGGATAAGCAGTTGCTGGGCAGATGTTCTCGCAGAAGTATTTTCATGTGTGTGTAAGGCGGCAATAGTCTTCATGCAAAGCTGTGGTTTTTGCAAAGAGTCTTTTGTGATAGTTCTTATAATCAGCCGTTTGCACGTGGGACCCCTTCCTTCATGGCTGTCTCCGGTTCTGTTTGTCAGAGTTTTTAACACAAATGATTCCATTTGATTCTGACAACATCCCCAGTAGAATCATGCCCCTCAATTTTGTCTTTTCTTTAGGGTCTCTGCCAAAGATAGAGCGATCAGTGGAGTACATGGCCAGACTTGGCAGTGAGCTTTTCCAGGCAGGTAGCACCCTGCAGAGCATGGCTTCTTGTATCACAGGGACTGAGATTTGAATCCCACTCTGTTACCCACAGTTTTGCTACCCTAATAATTCCCTAAACTTGTTGAGTCTCCATTTCCCCCTCTGTAAATGAAGTTTGTAAGAGCTGTCTTCCACGGACACTGTGGTGGCTGCATGTGGAAGCATATGCAAAGTGTCCATCTCTTTCCCAGCATCATCAGGCGAGCTCAGTCTTGTGGGCAGAAGCTACAGAAGAATCAGAGCATTGACTCAAAGATAAAAGAGCACACTAATTGCATCTTCCCAAGCAATTCACCAGCACTCGCTGCAAGCTTTGGAGGCTTTGAGCTTCATTACCCATTTTGAATTTATAATATCAATGTGATGTAGCTCCGTTTTTTAAAGATAATTCTTTTATCTATCCAATTATTTGGGAGACTTTTATCTCTAACGCTCTTAGTTGCTTTAATCTTGTTGTAATAATCTATTTACTCCCTAACAGCTAATCTATAGCCTATTGTTAAACATAAATCTATCATATCAGCATTTTAAAGAGCACATTTCAGCCACAACATTTTATCAGGGATTCATTCACAGAAAAAGAGGATATCAGGAGGTTCTAGTTGGGTGAATCATTCTGAAAAAGTAAGAGTGCATGTCGTAGAGCAAGGACTCCCTTACTCTCATGGGATTAAAATAGAATCACTTAACGTCTTTTTCAGTCATCCAATTCCGAATCTTGAAAGTATAAACTTGTACAAGAATTTTCTTTTTACAATATCAGACTGCGTTTTCTAAATCCTTTTATAATTTGCCTTCCTTTAGCCTTTTTTCACTCCAGTCCTGACTCAGTAATATTCCAAGAGAAGTGGTTCTTTCATTCTGAACCTGCCTCTGCCTAGCTACCACCCCTGCTGTCTCACAAGCACACACATTTTGCTCTTTCCTCCTTCCTTGAGCAAATGGCAACAGAGGAGACAATTAATAGCTGATTGCAATATTAGCTCTCTCATGAGAGGCATTTCTGGAGAAGACAAGATGCAAGCATTGCACACGGAAACACTCCTAGCCCTACAGTGTCAGTGTGGAAACTTGACAGTTCATTGGGTTTTAAGTTTCTCTGGTCCAATGCATTAAAAAGAAATGAGATATAAGTTGTGGATAGTAGACATCATGAATCCATTGTTAGGTATTATTTGTCATGTTGCAGATTGGGCTCCTGGGAAGGCAGACCCTGAGATAAAGACAGCATAAGAGGACTTTTGTTAGCGAGAGCTCTTGGTATCAACACCTGTGGAAGCAAAGGGAAGAAATGGAAGCAGAACTGGGCTGGGGAGAATTTGGAATGTGATGCAGACTCAGCAAAAACCTCAGCAAACCCCACAGGGAGCTTTGAAGCTGGCATGGTCTTACATCTGAAGTTAGGGAATAGGTCTAGGTCTTCAGAGCCTCATACTGAAGTGTCATTGGAGGTAAACAATCCCAGAATGGGACATGAGATTGAGAAAGGTGGCTCTTTACTGGTGTTTGCTGGCAAACTTGGGAACTAAATCCCCCACATCTGAAGAAGACCGTAGCAGTGCGTCAGAGTGTCCACTATCTGTCATTAAGAGGCTTTTCTTGGGATCTAAAATCTCTTACGTTAGGGAGTTGGTGACCTATAGTCAGGGTCAGGCTGTTAAAATGACTACATTTTACTGATAACACCAGTTCTTTATCCTCCTCTTTTTTCCCATTTGTGATAATTACCTGTTTCAGAGTCTGCCTCCTGAAACATCTCCTCTATTTCAATTGTAGTTTTAGAGTCGAATCATGTCTTGTATTTCCAAATTCTACTAAGAACTCTAATACTCATCCCCATCATTCTTAACTATTTAAGTTGAAAGTAAAGAGAAAATCTTGAATAATGTATAGGCGTTGCATGAGCTACACTGGCCAGACTTGAAAGGCTTAATTAATAGTTCTATTAACTATGTATGGGAATATATTAGTGTACTGGGAGTGAAGAGAAAAGAATTTCTTTTACTGTTTTTTTTTTTTTCTGAAGTTGTGGGGGTTCAGTTAACTCCATCAAAAAATTCTCTAAATTCAAGGTGTTTCTTACTTATTCCTCATCATGTTTCCTACCTTCCAACTTTCCTCAGACATACAATTTGCTGTAATATTCCTTCTGATGATGTCATGCCATGCCAAAGGTGACAAGGTAATGGAAAAAGAATCATAATGGCAAGATCTGAATGATTATGGGAAGTAGAAAATAAATGATCAAATGAGCTTTGGGCTAAGTCTTAATTAACTCTCTCTGGGCAGAAACTGTACATCCCAGTATATTGAACGGAGGTTCAAGTTAATTTATTTGGATATCAACGACAGAGAGACCTTAGAATCCTGGAAGACTTGGGGCTCTTAAGCTAAAGTAAAACAAGTGTATACATATAATCTACCTTACTTTATGAGTGAAAGTAAGGGAGGTCGAGGTAGAGTCTGGATATTCTGTTCTCCCCAAGGTTTTGGGAAAGGAATTAGAAATCCACAAATACACACACACACACAACTTGTCCCAGCGTGTTATGAAAATCGATATTGCTTTTAGCAATATAAATTAGGTGCTTGGTGAGGTTGTGGCATTTCTCTCAAGCAAAGAAAAGTAAAGGGAGATCAAGCCTGAAATTGTACTAGAAGAAGGAAATGCACCCTAAGTATCTAATGAGGAACATATAGCTCATCCAATTCCAGCTGGAAAACACTTCCATTTTTATCATGATTTTATTATTTTTACCTTTAGTTATTAATTGATTCATTTTTTAAAGAAAAATGTGTCCCAGGCTGGCAGACAAAAAAACAACAATGTCCTGCTTGGTGCTCCAGCTTCGGTTCAGTCCTCTGAGCCTACCCTAATGAATCTGATGTTGAACATTGTTTTCATTAAACACTTTGACCCCTCACCAAGCCCCAGGAGGAGATGTTGAACTCAAAGCCCACTTACTGCCCATTGACAGCCCCAAAGATGGAATTCCCCTGGTAATCCAGCTTTTCATTCTTATAATTACCATAATCTGTCTTTCATTTAAATGTGGTACAACTACACATTATACTGTAAAACTAAGTGATTATCTGCTTCTTCATTGTAATTTTCTTATTGTTAAGTACAGAATTTCTTTCTTGCACAAAGCTCTAGCAGAAAGACCCTTCTCACTACCACTTTGCTGGGTGTGATTACTCCTCTTGTGCTCCACGGGAGCCTCTTAACTACGCAGCCTCCAAGCCCTAGTGTGGAAAATTATGGGTTTTAACAACAAGGCTTCACTGGGTATTTATTCTTTTAAACACTATGCTATGCTCTTTACATCATGATTGCTTTTTTTTTTTTTTTTTTTTGACTGAGTCTCAGTCTGTCGCTCAGGTTGGAGGGCAGTGGTGCGATCTCTCCTCACGGCAACCTCCACCACCCAGGTTCAAGCCATTCTCGTGCCTCAGCCTCCCGAGTAGCTGGGATTACAGGCATCTACCATCATGACTGGCTAATTTTTGTATTTTTAGTAGAGACGGAATTTTACCATGTTGGCCAGGCTGGCCTCAAACTTCTGACCTCAAGTGATCCTCCTGCCTCAGCCTCCCAAACTGCTGGGATTACAGACATGAGTCACTGCATTGGGCCATGATTGCATTTAATCCTTAACAAAATTATGTAAGGTAGATATTATATTTGCTCATATTTTATCACAAAGAGAACCAAGGCTAAGAGACACGATATAATTTGCCTAATCAAATAACAAATAAGTAACAGTGTGAAGATTTGAATCCAAACATGGTTCACCAGTGTACAGCCCTGGCCCTTATGCCAGATGGCATCTTTAGAGAACAGAGTGCTATGGGCTGCACAAAAGTGGGTAATGCGTAACTCACTCTGAGCAGCTCTACCATCTAGCAGAAGGACTACGTGAACCAATATGGTATAGAAGTTTAGAGCATTCAAAGAGCCTATCTGCAATGTTTTTCTTTATGACTTTGAAAAACAAATATCTTAAAATAAATTCAGGTGTTTTTTGAAAAATGTAGTAATAATGCACAACTTTGACTGCTATAGGGATTGGGAGCTAATAGATAAAAAGCCCAGTGTACCTAACAAAGAGCCAGTGCTCAGAAATCGATAGTTAACAACTGTCACAGCCAAGAGTTGCCTAGGAGATGTAACAGCTAAATCATATGGTAAGGATGGGACCCTGGCATTAATAAAAAGGCATTAGGTCAAATGCTAAGGACATCTGAAAATACAGTATTTAGTTAGTAATACCATATCAATATTGTCCCATTAATTGTGACAAATATACCATGCTAATGTAAGGCATTAATAATAGAGGAACTTTAGTCTAAGGTATACGGAAACTGTACTATTTTTGCAACAGTTCTAAATATATAAAAACATTTTGAAATAGTTATTAGAAAAGTAATAGTTACTAATTCTGAATTGATGCTCGAGTTTCTGTTATTTTAAAAAATCAGAATCACAGTTCTCTTTGATAGTCAACACAGATAACACGCAGACAGGTATCACAAACAATACATGGAACTTAATCCCATATTAGAAAAGCGAATGGGTAAAAAATTGTAGGTCCACTGAAAAGCAATTGCACATTGGCTTGAATTTCAGACAGGTTGTGGGGACAAAACCTGTGTCAAATTCTTGAGGCACGAGAAACCAAGGCGCAAATGTTTTCAACCACATTTCTTATTTTAAATGCAGATGATATCATTTTAAGAAATAAAATACCTCTACCAGAGTTCATTTGGAAACACACACACAGACATATACATGTATCTGTTTATATCTACTTTCTTTCCTTTTTTTTTTTTTTTTTTTGAGCTGGAGTCTTACTCTGTCCCCCAGGCTGGAGTGCAATGGCGTGATCTCAGCTCACTACAAATTCCACCTCCCAGATTCAAGCAATTTTCCTGTCTCAGCCTCCCAAGTAGCTGGGATTACAGTTGCACATCACCACACCTGACTCATTTTTGTATTTTTAGTGGAGATGGGGTTTCACCATATCGGTCAGCCTGGTCTTGAACTCCTGACCCCCGGTGATCCACCTGCCTTGGCCTCCCAACCTCCTGGGATTACAGGTTGAGCCAACACGCCCAGCCCTACCTACTTTCTAGTCAAACATAAACACCTTCATGTAAAGAAGATCTAGTTTCTTGGCAGAGAATCTTAGGGCACATTCAACATATGCATACCAACTGGGAAACTAAACTATATTTTTAGGTACTCATGTTACATATTTGCCTAAAATCTTTATGAAAAACTGAATTTGTTTTTCATAAATTAATATATCATGGTTGATAATGTGTAGGTTCATAGCAGTGGCCCCTCTGCTCAGAAGAGTTAGTCCTTAGTGACAGGCAGGCACCAAGCCTTTAATACTGGCAAGTGGTTAATCAGTGCAAAGAACATAGAATGTTCATGATCACTGAGAGGAGTGATCATTATGTGCACCAAAGATAAACTGTGCACACATGTATACACACACATCACATACATGCATGCACGTGCTTGTACACACTCACCACACTTTATTAAAAGGTCCTAAGTCATTTGCAGATTGTTGCTAGACCCATTTGCACAGGTTAAATTTGCACAGGTCTAGCAGATTGATGCTAGACCCATTTGCACAGACTGAGAACTTAAAGTTACACAAAGTGCTTTTTCTAAAAGTAACCTTTAAACACTTGAGAGAAATGGTCTTACTTGCTTTTGAAGTAGAATGCTGCACAGAACATGCCCACGATGACAATTCCAAAGACGATACATGAAATGGACAGCACCTGCCTTTGATAAACTTCTTCACTTTCTGTGAATTTGAAAAACAAAATTAGAATGCATGCTAGCAGGGCACGTCAACAACAATCTTCATCCATGCACTTCTGATCTGGTAGGAATCTTTCAAAGCCAACTTTTTTTATCTGTCATAAATAGGGAAAAAATGAGGAAATTATTATGATTCAATTTCTTTGCATAGTTCTATAGGATAACTGGTTGCTATTTTTTGTATCTGCATCCCTACATCAGAACTCATACTCAGATGCTGCAATTACAAATTTTATTATCAAATATATTCTGTGACTTTAGGATTTACTGGGGACATAAGCTTGTGAAATTGTGGGAGGGCCCAAATTAATCAGCGAAACAAACTCATGTGCTTCTGAGCTTTCCTGTTCCAGCGATGCCTTCCAATTTAGCTTCTGTGGTGCAGATGCCCCCGTGTTTTCTCATTTTGATTTAGTCCTTGGCTGTCAGTCTTCCATTCATCCTACTATCACTATGATTGACATCAGTCATGAAGAAAAAATCAATATGCATGTAAGTATTTTATTCACCCAGTCTCTGCCCTTCTCAATACCAATGATTTGGCACAGTCGAACTCAGCCTCTGTTACCAAGGTCATTTCTTGTAGCTTGTCATCACAAAAATGACAATAATTAAAAAACAAACATTTCACCCTTTAGCCACTAGCGTTTATACTCCTTGTTTCTTTCCTGAAGTGCATCTACCTAAACAACTCCTCCATTTCATCAAGACTTTGTATCCACAGGACCCAGCAGTTTCTTTGTTAATTATCCTCCTCTTGTCTTTATCTTTCTATTTATATAGGACAATGGCCATGGCCCAGGACTACAGTCATTTAGTAATGACTTGCAAATACTCTTGCAAATACTCTCATTTACTTTATCCTTTTTGTCTTCCCTTCTACCTATTTGTCAAAAAAAAATACACACAAATCCAAGAAACTGCCTTCTCCATACCTCTACCATGGGCAGCTCAGAATTGGGGAAGAAAACTGTACCAATGGGCAAATGGACACCGATAAACAACAGCAACCACAGAGCTTAAGGAGTCATCTCATAGTCACTAACAATCTCATCAGCCTGACTTCCCGTTTTCCTAATGATCATCCATATTGTCTCCACACTACTCACACCTCTGACATATCTTCCCCTCTCTCACTCTCAGACCTTCCATACATGTAATAAGGAAGAAAAAGCCAGTTTAGAAGAAATTTCCCACTTTCTAACACATACATACCTAAAACGATACCAAGTTAACTGCAACTATATCCATTCTTTCTCTCTCTCATTAACATAGAACAATAATTCTCAAATTGTAATGCACTGGAGTCACCTTGGAGCCTACTAAAAACAGACTGCAACTACTTTTTCACCCAGAGTTACTGATTTAGTAGATTTGGAGTGGGTACAGAATAGCTGCATTTCTTAAAAGTTCCCAGGTGATTCTGATGCTACTGGTCTGGGAAACATACATTCAGAACTATTGAGCAGACTAACAGTTCTCAGAATATGAATCATTTACATAAAAATCACCCAGGGAGATATTTCTTTTTCTTTGTTAATGCCAATTCTGGTATCCTTCTTGGACTTTCTAAATCAGGATTTTTTTTTCTTTTTTGGGGGCAGAGTCTCACTCCGTTGCCCAGTCTGAAGTGCTGTGGCATGATCTTACTTACTACAACCTCTGCCTCCCAGATTCAAGCGATCCTCCTGCCTCAGCCTCCCAAGTAGCTAGGACTACAGGTGTGTGCGTACTGTCACGCCAGGCTAATTTTTGTATTTTTAGTAGAGATGTGGTTTCACTATGTTCACCAGACTGGTCTTGAACTCCTGACTTCAGGTGATCTGCCCACCTCGGCCTCTCAAAGTGTTGGGATTATAGGAGTGAGCCACCAACCAGGCCAGGATCTTTATTTAAGTATAATTTTCAGTATTTCTCATGCATACTAAAATTTGAACATTATTCAATTAGAGCAAGTGCTATTTTTTTAATTAAATAAGAATTCCTTTGGTGTTCATTGTTTCCTAGCATCTCAGGGCCTTCTCATCACTGATAATTCAACAAAAACAATAGATTCAAATTCATTTTATGATGCCAGTATTATGATACCGAAGAAGACAAAGACCTAACAAAAAATTTTAGATAAATAGCCCTCATCGTCATAGATGCAAAAAAATCTTAATAAATTTTAGAAAATAAAATATAACAATATATAAAAGGTAGAATGTATCATGACTAAGTAAGGTTGATACATGAAAATGCAAGGTTGTTGTAATATTTTAAAATTAATCAATGAGGTTCACCATTTTAACATCTAAGCAAATAATCTAACTAGATCAGAGGCAAAAACATAGCAAAACTTAATATTCATTCTTGATTAATACTCTCAAAACCTAGAAATAGAAGGTACTTCCTCAACCTAATAAAGAGTAGCTATAAAAATATAAATATCTAACTTTGAAAGACTGAATGTTTTTTCCCTAAAATCAGGAATAAAGCAAGAATATCCACTCTCATACCTTCTGATCAACATTGTACTGGAGGTTTAGTTAATGACACAAGAAAAAATAGAAATAAAAGTCATTCAGCTGCAGAAAGTAGAAGAAAAGTTGTCTTTGCAAACAACATGACAATTTATGCAGAACACCTGATGGAATCTACAAAAGAGCTAATATACCTATTAAGTAAGCTTAGGAAAATTTCAGGATATAAGGTAATAAAAGAGAGATACAAAAACAAATGTACATCTATTTTATAGCAGCAAAGATAAATTGAAACAAAAATGTGATTTACAATACCATCACAGCATATAAAATAAATAGAGATAAATTTAACAAAAGGTACACAAGTCCTGTACATCGAAAAGTTTAAAGGAAGACATAAATAAATAGATAAATCATGTTTGTGGATTAGAAGCCTTGATATTATTAAGATGTCAATTCTCCTCAAGGTGATGGACAGATTGATTGCAATGCTATTAAAATCTCAGGAAGCATTTTTATTGTTGTTGTTGTTGTCACAGAAATTGACAAGCCTATTCTAAATGTTTTATGGGGGAAATAAAACAGATCTAGAGTAGCCAAAACAACTTTCTTGTAGCCAAGAGAACAAAGTTGTGGAAAAAGACTACTTTATTCTAAGATTTCTTATAAAGCTATAGTAATCAAGGCAATATGGTGTTGGCCTAATTATAGACAAATAAATAATTGAAACAGATAAAAGAGTCCAGAAATATAATATTCTAAACTTATGTGACCAATTGGTTTTGACAAAGATGCCAATATAATTCAATGGTGAAAGAATTTTAAAAAATGACATTGTATCAATAGTATACATAGCCATATGCACAAAAATGAACCTGGGTCCTAACCTCATGCTCTATATATATATCCACTCAAAAAGGATGATAGATGTAAATGTAAATTTTAAACTATAAAATTAGAAGAAAACATAGGAAAAAGTCTTAATGACATGGATTTAGCAAAGATCGCTTAATTAAAATACAAAAACTACAAACTAGAAAATATTTCAAAATCAATAAAATGGCCTTCATCGACATTAACATTTGCTCTTCAAAGACACCATTATGAAATTCAAAAGGCAAGATACAGTCTGAAAAAAATTTGAAAAATATATATTCCACAATGGACTTGTATCTTTAATTTATAAGAATGACTTTTCAATAGTAAGATAAGCAAACCAATATAAATATGAGCAAAATATAGTTGATCAGAAACTTCCCCAGAGATATCTGGATGACAAATAAGTACCTAAAAAATACCCAATGTTGTTCATTATCATGAAATTACAAATTAAATTATAATGAGATATATGGCACCCCCACTAGAATAGGTGAAATGAAAGATTCACCATACCAAATGTGAAAAGGATGTGAGCAACCAGAACTCTCACGTACTTATGATGGAAAGGTAAAATTATACAGCCACCTCCAGTAATAGCTTCACAGAAAGTTAAAAATACACCTACCTTATGATCTGGCCATTCCATTACCCACAACTCTTGAAAGTTTAATTTCATTGTGCACCCAAATGTTCATAGAAACTTTATTTTTAATAGCCCCCAAACTGGAAATAACCCAAGGATCCATCAACAGGTAAATGGATAATCAAAATAGTGTATTTCTATATAATGAAATAATCCTTAGCAGTAAAAATAAATGAACCATTCATATAAGCTACAATATGAAAGAATATCAAAATCAATATGCTGAGTGCAATAAATCAGACAACAAACAGGGCAAATGTTGTATGATTCCACTTATTCAAAATTCTAGACAATGGAAACTATAATAACATAAAACATAGGTGGACACCTGGGGTCAGGAGCAGGGACTGGTAGGAGAGATTCCAAATTGATGTGAGGAAACTTTTGGGAGTTATAGACGTTAATTATCTCAATTACAGTGGTGGTTTCGTTGGTGAATACTTATGTCAAAAATGTATCTAGTTATACATTATGAACAAGTGGTTTATCTTATGTCAATTATAGCTGTAAAAATATTAATCCCAGGGTACAAAGAATACAGAGAATATATCAAGAATATGCAGAATGTGAAAGAATATAAAATAATACATAACTTTTTATCTTTTAGGGTTTTTTTATTATTATACTCCCATAAACCACTCTCTATGTAGCAGGCAATATAAACTTTTTAATACATAAGTTAAATCATATATTTGTATGTATATGAATGCATGTGAATGTGTGTGTATGTGTGTGTGTATTCTATTTTTAATGTGTTAATGAGGGCCTATTTGACTTATAATACCTAAAACTCTTAGCATGGTCTTGAAGAACTGCCTGATATGACACTGCTCACCCATATCAACCACTCTCCTCTTTCTCTGTTATGTCTACGATTTCACTCCTTAGAGTCTTGAAACATGCTGTTTGCTTTATTCTTCTGCTTGTCTTAAATGTTCACTCCAGCTTTTTAAAAATCTCATACTAAATGTCACTAGTTTATCAAAAAGCCTTGCACTG